AATTTTTCAAGATTAGGAAATGTCTCATGTACATTAATAATATTAGCAAATAAACGAACTTGGTCAGCTGAGTATTCGTTACTAAGCGTCAGTATTCGAACATCAGCTTTGATCGAAGGTATTATGTAGGTACAATAATCTAGAAATTCACGAAACGCTGTTTTGGACAAATCGAGTTTATGATGATATTCTGTAATAGTTTGATGCAAACGAGTGTTTTGGTCCTTGAATGATGTCAAAATGTTATATGGTGATAAATAACGGCAGATAAGCAATATTATCTCATCTGGTAGATGTTCCAAAACAGATTTCATTTCGTAGTTTGTGCAAGTTACTACACGAATAACGTGCGCGCTACAATCGATATAAGTTGACCGTTCTTGAAGAAGTGCTGTTGTGTCTAACGATTTTTTCTTCTGATGTATTGAAGAGTCTAAAGTTCTTCCAGTCATTTGATCGTTCTCACTTCATTTTATTTTGCTGAATGAAAGAAGAAAAACACTTGAAATGGATAATTTAATTGAATTAATAAAGCAATGAATAGAGCTGCGTTCTTTAATTGAACCGATTAATCACCTGAAGTTGCTTTCTTGAGAAATATTAGCAGCAGCCGCAAGTCACAATAACGACGAAATCATAACATTGTTAGTAACATTATTTCTACTCCTAAATAATACCGGGTGACTGTGTTTGACAAACCGACAATCGATAGATTTCGAATGCATATGTAATCGTCTCATATGCCTGTCTAGAATGAAAACATTAAAATAGGTTCGAAACGTTAGCATATAGAGAGAAAGCAAAAAATTAGTTTTGCCGCACTGTAAAAAAAAGTGTGCAAATGATCCACTGAAAGTGAACGATGGTGTTTTTTCACTTTTTCGTGGGATCCATTTTGCATAGGAAAGGAAAACGAACAAAACTAATTTTCCACAAGCTAATGATAACGTTGCCACTTTGACCTTGGTACTAATTTTTTGGACTCATTTGATTAAACATACGAAAGAATGTTTTCAAATTCCTAGTTTAAACAGTTCCATTTTTTCTATTAAAATAAACTTTTGGGGGGAAAATTCACAAAGTTTTTTTTGTGATCCATTTTGTCTCAAAATGACAGTATATATGTACTTTTGAAGACGGTGATCACGATTTTAAAATTATTTTTCCATTTAATACAGTGTCCAGCGAGAAAACTGGAAAATACTAAAATTTTTTAGCACACTTAGCTTTTTACACACTGAGATTGACCGTCTAGAAAAAGTATACACTTTTCAATGTTGAGCGAACGTTTGGGCCATTTTACATACACACATACTAATACACTTTTTTCTTGCAGTGTAGCACCTCAGAAATTTGATCGAGACGATGCATATCGTGTTTGTATCTATTACTGAGCCCAGTGAGACAGAACCAACAACATTTCATGTTTATTAACGAAAAGTCTCATTAAAATGTTCACAAATGTGCGTGAATATCCAATGAGTTTCGTTATACATCTTATTTCGTCAAATTTACTTGATCACAGACTATAAGTACAACATATGCGTAAGGCACGATTAATCTTGCTATTAGCACAATTTTTCTTATAACTTACATACATATGACGTCCAGTTTGTTAGTAGTCCTGTATGTGTTGACTTTCTGTATATACGCGTTTCAAATTTTGTATTACTTTTACACCAATAATAGGAACACCGGTATTCATTCATACCAAAAATACCGACTTCTTTTTACGTGGACTCTTTTGAATTCTTTCATTTGAAACAGAATATTGAAATAAGATATTTAAAATAGGTATCGGTATACCGATACCGGTGCATACCTAGTGAAGAAAAGGTAAAAGATTGTCAATCTCTGTCTCATGTGTAAATTGCATATCTGGATGAAACGAATTTAAAATATTATCTATTTCATAGAATGACGACTGACAAGTGCACGCTGGGTCGTACAGTTGGGTCGTAACGAAGCTGAATAGAACGAATACGTTTAATATGCAGTACGTAGGAAACTAAGAAATACAAAGTTCCCTTCTTATTGGCTCTTACGTGTCTTCGTCCAAAATATATAAGAGAAAACTGCTGTTGTTACGTACATTACATGTTACGTTTCTTACGCATGTTTGAGCTCTTTTCTGACGTATACACTTTTTTCTTTTCTCGTACACTCATTATTCGAATATTCTTCACCCGTATATAAATGAAACATAGTTTGCCGTAGTGAATAACGAATAGTCTTTCGTTTCGCTCTTTCGAAGCTTACGTATTACGGCCCATCTCTAGGTACCCGGAGAGCATTTAGAATATTTAATTTGACATTAATCATAAACTGGAAACTTTTTATGGAGAATAATATTAACAGTAGAACGACATTTTATCACTGGGATGAAAAAGAAGCTGATGAGTTAACTTTTCACAGTGTGTCATCTGAGCACTTACAGACAGCTGGTAAATTGAGATCATACGTTGACAGTTTTTATGATATGTTAAACGAGAATTGAAACCATGAATACATCAGAGTCGGATGTTAAAAAAATGTTTAGTTGGATTGTCTACTGATAAACCTATAGTTGTAACTCGTTCGGATAACGGGAGAGGTATCGTTATGTTAGATCCGTTAGATTACATTAGTAAAATGATATCGCCTGGAAAATACACATTCACCGAAAATGTGATTTTCTATAAGAGCCATTGCACGTAAACCACGACGTATTACAGCGGAGTAGCCTTCAATCGATGTTCTCAAAATCTTTTCAAATTAGGGTGCGCCTTTAGACCAAACATTTTAATGAATTTTGGTAGAAGCGCAAATCAAAAAGTTGTATCGCTGCTGAGATATCGCAATTTTATGGAAAGCCCGAAAAACGTGGATTCCGCCATCTTAAAAATTTGCCAAGTTTAAACTCTTGTAATTCAGTAGCAACAGGTTACATAACCTTGAAGATTTTCCTATAAATAGTAGATAGTGTGAACTATAGGCTTGCTTCCTGGGTTCGTAATCGTCCTATATTTCCTGTATTTATGAAAGTGGTCCTATATTGTCCTATATTTCGTATATTTGAGGGTAAAAGTGGGGTTATGCTGAAATGAGTTGTATTTGATCGTGAAAAGACATATGCGCTTTCCTCATACATTGCCACTCGTTTTCGTAAAGAACACGTAACCCATTGTACATATTATTTCTTGACTGTTGTATTTGTATGACTAAAGGGCTCTTTTGGGAAGAAAATGATGAATATAGAACCGCTACAACGCACATGATAAGAGTTTAACTAAATCTTTCACACATCATCATCAGGAAAATGAACATAGGAAGAAAAGATAACTAATTATATAGTCTGTAAGTGTGAGTATAAGACAAAGAAATTAAAGAAGCAATTTTGCCAGTAGGAACAACGTGCCAGTAAAAGAATCTATTGAGATTGCACTAGATATGTTATATAAGCTAAAGAAATATAGCTGATATACCCTTCAGTCGACAACAGAAGAATTTATATAGGACCGGCACACTCATTAGTGACTATATGTATGTACGTCCGTCACACCTCTGTACGGACAAACACACACACACACAAACACTTTGAGTTTTTCGGATGACCATAGATAGACCACAACCGCTTTATAGCAAGATTTTATACCTAACCAGCTCTAACGCTTCTGAAGGACAAAAAATTCCGATAAATACGCAGAAGTCACCGTCTAAATTGTACAATTAGCACACAACGCGATGATACCACATATAACGATGTATCAGTGATGGATCCAAAAAAAGTTTTCGGTGCTGGCGGATTTGGACAAAAGAGCAAGTTTGCTTCTAGGCGACACAATTTTTGCTTCTTTTCCTTTATTACTATTCCTCAGTTTAAGCAGGATAGAATTAAAATAATATTTAAAACCATAAAAAGAAATTAGCCGCAGTTTTTGTGGGGGAACATTAATTAAATGTTCTTTAACATTTCATCACCAGCATCGACACGATAACGAAGTAAAGCTCGAAAATTACCTAAGTAATAGAAACAATTTATGATTTAATATAAAGGATCACCTCAATCACCTTCAGATTTGATATAATATCTCAGAAACAGCTTGATCCTTACACACATCTTGTATGAAAGAGAAATGTTTGCTCTACAAAATGCTTAAAAGCAGATAAACGCTTGTTCCATTGACTGTAAATCTATGGTCATCCGAAAAACTCAAAGTGTTTGTGTGTGTGTGTGTTTGTCCGTACAGAGGTGTGACGGACGTACATACATATAGTCACTAATGAGTGTGCCGGACGTACGTACATGTAGTGACCAGTGGGTGTGAGGGACGTACATACACAGAATCACTAATGAGTGTCACGGACAAAGATCCACATCGGTAGATGCATTCGGGTTTTCTGTGGAATCAGAGACGTGTAACACCTGTCCTGGCTGCGAGCGCGAACGAAGGGACGCGTGAGCATTGTCTGGAATTTCGAAATATTGTTAGACCTCTGGGGTTCTTTGGGGATCAGATAAAACCAAATCAAATTACAGAGACTCGATGAATATACAAATTGAGTAAATAACACTATGACGCTTTCAATCTTTTGAGAGTCACATAACTCGTGAACTGATGATGACTTGATAGACTTGACTTCTATTCCATACTTGGCTTCGAAACACGTACTCACTCTGGTAAACTTTTCTGACCGATGACAAGCGAAAGCAACTGCTTCTGTGAACTAAGGTGCAAAATATGCATCAATTCTGTAGTAACAAGATCGAGTTACAACAGAATGAATAATAATACCGACAGTGCATTCATTTGCTTACAGACAATGGACCTAGTGAATCGATGCGATTCACGTTATTTATTTTTATTTATTTTTGTTTAATGAACAAAGTATAAATAAAGTACACAGGATACAAAAAGATTGCACGTTACATCTTTAATTCTTCGATTGTCATTGCCTTGTGTCTATTTACTTTTTGTACATCGTCTAGATTAACTCTTAAAAGTTTTGTGTATATAATTTTATCGGGCTTTCTTCTTTTTTGTTTGATTTGTGACTGTTGTCGTTGTATTATTTGCTGTTGTATTTTGTCGTCCATATTGTCGTTCATGCCATGCCACTTGATTCAAATTTTGTTCATCTCCATTATTACCACTATCGTTTGTGTCGTCTTCTGGTTTTTGTCCATTATTGACGTTTTCATTGAGACCTTTAAATATTATATACGCATGTTTTAACATAATATTTAGACCAATTTCAATATTGTCCAGATCATTTTCTTTTACATTTTCATTCCACAGATCACTTCGTTGTAAATACATTTGAATGGGTATGGACAAATCTACAACTGGTATCAGTATACGAATAATAAGACGTTTCAAAACGTTGATCCAAACATTTACATCACGCATTGATTGTGACATCTTTTCATTCAAATAAGTTTCCTTTGAAAATTGTTCAATTACTTCTTGAATTTCTTGTTTTGTAAATGAAATTTCATCCAGTTCCTGTTTTATATAATTTTTCATGATCTTATCAAATACAATTTCTTCAATTAGTTCATACAAACTGATAATATATTTGATTTGTATTGTGGAAAACAGTTGCTGTTGTCGAAGTATATTCGTATTGTATTTAATACATTTTTCAACGAATACTTGAATTGTCATTGTATTATCGTCGGATATTAAATTTCTCAGGTATGTAAATATGTAATCGAGTGATCCGATATAATGTAAAATAGCATCCGGTTTCATATTTGTCAACAGTAGATGTAATTTCGCTTTTTCATCATTTGTCAATAATTCTTGGCGTATTCTATTTCGAATATCGGTAATCAATGTTGAATCTTCATTGAACAGTTCATGTTGATAATTAAGAAATGTAAATTTAGTCAAATCAAATACACATAAATGTTCAATTAAATGTTTGAGTTTAATTTCTATTTCATCAAAATCATATAGAATTGATTTGCTTTTCCCGTAATTGTAATCGATAACAAAACCATCATCATACAGAAGTTGAAGAAAATTGTCTGAATCCATTTGAAATAATTGTTCATTTTTAACATTTTGAATTGTTTGTTGTTGTTGTATATGTCTTGTATTTTGATCATTACTATTTATTGTTTTCTGTATAAAATGACCAACAATATCGTTTTGATATTGTGCCAATTTAATTAAACATCCAGCTAGAATAATTGATGAATCATCTTTAGTTGTATTCAATAATACATAGGCTAATTTTGTTTCCTTTTCAAAACCATCTTTTGTATTTGGATCCAAATGAAAGGGTCGTACTTGACATCCATAGGCTACTTCATCCAATTTCAATTGAAACCATGCTTCTTTAAAATCGTCAAATAATTGACGAAATAGACGTTGATCATGTTCATCCGGATTTTCTTTCGTATTATTTAAGTAAAATGCAATGGGATACGTGGCTGCATCATTGCGTGTTATACGATGATTAAATTTTTGTAGTAAATAATTTGTAAAACGGACAATCGGAAACAGATGTTTTATATTTTGACATTCGTTTAAACGTCGAAGAATGAAACTTGTGATTGGATAATACAGATCAGAGTCACGTACAGTCATTTGTAATTTTGAATTGAAATCATCGATTGTACATTGGGTATTAGTTACATTTAAATATTGTAACAATGGATATTTTTCATTGTTCTCTATCAATTCATCAATGAAATCATTTAATTCTTCTGATTTTCTTTGTCGTACATATTGAATATAGATCGTTTTATATTCATCGATTTCCGTTATTACCGATTCAATATGAGAGAATAAAACAGTTTCTTCAAATTGTTTTTCAAAATGGATCACATTGTTATTTGTATTTAATATTCCAGGCAATTGTAAAATATCCAGAGTATGATTGAATAGTTTGTATAGCCAAATATGTCCAGTATGATCTTTATTATTTAGAATTTCATATACCAATTGACAATCTTTCTCAAAGTGATTTTTTAAATAAACATTCACTGATGATGTGGTATCAATTTTATGTTTGGTCAATTCAATGAGATCGGTTTCAGACAAATATTTCATTTCATATAATAAAATTAACATTGAATGTGTGAACATATGAAGTAATCGAAAGGACATTGTCTTATTCAAATGATCATATTTTTCGTTAACGGTGGAATGTTCAGCCGTTGTACTATTATGATAACCGTAACGATCTGTTCTATTGAAATTTTGAATATATTCATCGATAAACTGAAACCCATCTTGAATAGACATTTGTATTTGCGGTGGTGAACGTTGAAGTAAAATATGGGGAGCCTGTGCTCCGATTTCTGCATTACACCAAGGACACCTTGTACGTGCAACAGGTGCACCACAGTTATCAAAAAAATAAGTATAAAAACAGTTTTTCGAACATCGATATATAAATCGTCCATCTTCCATGTATATCTGTCCGGTAACTAAGCGTTCTTGAACAGATTGTTTTACATACAACATTTGCTTCACCACTCGATCTTCGATATATAAACCCAACAGGCAACGTCGATTAATATGCTGTACATAGCTGACTGGTATTTTATTTGTTTCATTAAACAATAAACTACTCATGAACGTGGATTCCGTGGATGACAACGATCGTGATGCCAGTAATAATACAAATAAATTTAACGCAAGTAGACGATAATGAACTTGTTCACTGATTATTTCTGGATGTAAATGAAAATATGAGTTTCTTTCGAAATTTTTGCATAATTCCAGAATAAAGCGATAACCAATCGGTTCAAAGTAAAAACAAAGATCTGTTTTCAGATCGTCTTCGATGAATGTGAGAAATTGTTTGTCCACTACTAGCGAATTGGTATAAAATTGTGAATAATATTGGATAAACCAAATGTAAAAACAATAGGTGAGACGATTATTTTTTTGACATTCTATCATCAGATCTTTTATTCGTTCTACCGACTTTGATTTCAATATGCTGTTGACATTATCATAATCGATACTGGATAAAGAAAAAAATGGTAAATACATGTCGATTGTCGGTAATTGATTACTGGTGGCATCTTGTCGAAGAAATTCGTTTATCCATTTAACATTACGATTCTTGAACGCAGTTCGTAAATGATTGATATTCTTATCTTTAGTAAAATACAACATTTGCTTGACAATAAATATCTTCAGAGATGAACATAACAAAATGGCAGATGATTGATTACAAAGAAACTGATCAATTTGTTTCATTATGTCCGATTTTGAGTCTTGATTGAGAGCATATGCATATAATTCCAAATAAAATTTTAGCCATGCAATCAAACTGATCAATAATACATATCGATTAGGAGATCGAGCTATCAATTCTTGTAATTGTAAAAAATTTTGTTCAAAATACTTGTAGTCATGTGTGAGTGTTTCATCAATAGTACTTTTACTCACAGTTAATTTTAAATTCATATAAATATAAGTTGTATAGATTCTAATTAGTTTATTGCCGTTATTTTGCTGTTGTAAGTAGTGTTCCAATTCGGTTAACATATCGGTGTATTCAATTTTTCCATGTTCATTTGTCACTGATTCACATAAATGTAAAATTTCTCGATCAATGTAAGACATAATTTTCGCTCCGTATCTCCACAAATGACTTGTATCATCATTCAGCATATCCAATAGTTCACAATAATTCGTCTGATGATCAATAATCCAGTTTCGTAATAATTCTGCTTCCAATTTTGTCATTATTCGATTGATCGACTGATCATCTCTATCGCTATCTTGACATATTTTATTACGTAAAAATTGAATAAATTCATGAATCAGTTGACATGATTGAAATATATTGACATTTTGGGATATATAATTGAATACGGATCGAAATGTTTCCAATGGATTTCTACTTAACAACTCAATGGCTTGCAGAAGACTAATTAGCGGTTGCAACTCTTCCAAATTGTTCACCAAATATCGATCGAGACTTTTGATACTTTGAACAATACGATTATAAATTGTGGATAGATTTGAGATGTCATTACAGTTTTGAATAACATGAAAACCTTTAATGACATGAATGAGATTATTGAGACTGTTTTCAATAAACGGATCGCCATCGGACAAGTCAAAAAGGATTTTTTCCGATGATTCTGGTAGAATTTGATAATATTGTTTATTGTCGGCAAGTACCATTGTGAATAGATTTCGTCGTTGTTCTTGTACATTCTGTTCATCTATAATAAAATTGGACTGATCAATGAGATTCATCATTGCATGTTCATCATTATTTAGTAGGCAAGCACCATTTTCAAATACTTGCAGCAACTGAAGTAATTCCATACGATGTACGAGAAAATATTGCGTTTTATCTTCGGGTGTAGGATAATTGCGCAATAATTGAAGAACAAAATTAACGCTCAACGATTGTATTTTATGTTGGTCTAGAAATAAAAGAATTTGATCGTGATAATACTGTTGAAATAGATAATCATTTGTCATTATGTGTTGAGGATAGAAATGCTCTTGTAAATAGACACTCTTCTTTTCCAACTGTTTCAATGCCATTGTCACATTGATGCGTTCATCACGAAGATCGTCTGATATTTGTGTGAGAATTTTATATTCAACAGGTGAATAAGGAAATTGTAAACCGAACACCAATGGTATTTCAATATATTCGTTCACGTTCAATCGAGTTAAGTTTGTTATTTTATCAATGATCAAATCTAAACATTGTAACCAGATTTGATTGTATAAACCACTAGTGTCATGTTCTTGAATGAACAGGTAAGCGTCAATCATGGCTGTTCGTTCAAGATATGAAAATAAAACGAGAAAATATGTATCATAAAAATAGGTCAGTGTCAATTGAAATGCGTGTTGAAATGATCGACTTGTAGCAGCAATTGTACCATTGCTGATCAAATCTTTTCGCCAGTCGTCGGATGAGAACAACTGCTGTTGGCAATTTTTGATCAAATATTCTATTTTTTCACCTACGATCGTTTGAAATTGTCCGTTAATCAATGACTGCAACAAATTATCACGTCGCGTATTGATATTCATTTGTAGTGAAGTATTCGTGATAGTGTAACGAAATTTGGACAAACAACGATCGAGCAGTTCGGGAAACATAAAGCCCGATGCAGAATACTGTGCGTCTTTCATAACATCTTGGTATGTTGGATTTTGTAGAATATTTGCTGTAATTCGTACTTTCTCACTGTTCTCATTTAAATCATCTATCATATCGACTGACCATCCATTGAACAGAACATCATTTTTTTCATTGTTCAATAAATTTCGTTGTAGATGAAATAAAATCCAAATATTTTTCGACGATAAATCAGTCTAGAAAATGGAAAAAAAATTGAACAACAAATCTTTTCCTACGTTACATTAGACCTATACTACGGTTAGATAACCGTAGTATATGCGTACGTAAAGGAAGAACTAAAACTAGCTATAGTTTATAATAGTACACAGGATATGATGAACTCATACCTTCTGTTGTTGTTGTCCGCCTTGAACAAACTCATTGAATACATTCATTACACAATGTTTCAATGTGAGAATATGCTGTCTTTCATTGTGATAATCGACACGAACACATAAAAATTTGACATTTGTGGCTTGAATAAACTGTTTCAGTTTATTTGTTAATTCTAATTCAGATGTAAAATTGGCCAGTTTAATTTCTTCTATAGTATCATCAGAGTCGGTTGGATAATTGATTTTTTCGTATATTTGTGTGTATGTATATATGATTTGCTTAACTGATACAATTGTTTCGTGTATCAGTTGGCGAAAGTGTTGTTTAGATTTCATTTGGTAATATCTTGCAATCAAATCTTCATGTATATTGTTATTTAAAGCGAGTATCAACGGAAAGTCTTGTGTACTTGAACGAAGAAAATGTTCAACACAATATTCAGCAACCATGTTTTCATCAATTTCATTGTCGCTACCATACTTTTCACATGCATCCAGGACTAGATTACACACATAATCGCAACTGAAATTCACAATCATATGTTGGGCCAATAAAAAATGTTTAGGTATTGATTGTAAATGTAACAAATTATTGATCCAACTTAATAAAGTATCGGTAATTTTCAATTGCTGTGATGTTACCAGATCATAAAAGTGAATAACGTGCTTTTCAAATCGATTCAGAAATGGGGCAGCTGCTTTTTCCACATCTTTTGCATTGACCAATATGACACAGTAGAACTGATCATTGACCAAACATCGTGGATGATACGTGGCACCTAGTGCAATTCGGCAATATTTTCTTTCACCATATAGTGAAAAATTTTGGTTGAACAGATCGTACAATGTTCCATATAAATGATCCATTTTACGTAATATCAATGTGATATTGGTTTCAGCGTACAGAATAATGTTCATCAATACACGATATCCGTACGATTCTTTATTCAAATCGTTCAACATTTGACTGCCGATGAGTGTTCTAACATTATTTTCGTGTTTGTTCAGATAACGTTCAATATAATCAAACAGACTTTCGGTTTCCGATATCAACATCAAATACCGTCCATTTCGATGTGACAAACTATGATCAATATACTGTTTCACATGGGGCGGTTGATAGTGGTTTATCATTTCATTTCTATTCAAATATTCACAGAAACTTTTCCACATGTACACCGATCCATCAATGATACCGTCAAAATTAATTTTCATTTGTTTTCGAATAATTTCATATTGTTTCGATTGAGCAAATTCATCGGTCATTTCATCATCAAACTCTTTTACAATTCCTTTAATCAGCGAGTAATAATCACGTAAGCCAAAATAATTTTCATTTCTTTTCTCCCGTTTCAAACTCATGAATAAATCGGAATAGGCATTGGCTAAATTCAACATCGTTTCATCAGTCAAATAAATTGTGTTGTCAGTAAGACTATTGCGTATGATCTGACCAGTCAGACTTAGATCGTCCACATCGGGATCGGGACAAGCCAAGAATAGGAGACGATTCATTTTGGACGCATCAAGACGGTAATTGGTGATGCCGACAAATCCATATTTACAATTTTCAATTTCCAATTCTGAATGGAGGACTTTCAGTGGATTATATGGTGATAACTCTGCTAGACCAATTTCATCAAATACAATCACCGATAGCAGATTTGTATCTGATTTAATTTCATTAATTTTCTTTGCTCGTTCAAATACTTTTTCAATACTTTCTGATGTGCACGTTTTTGAACCTTGATACGATACTGGTCGTAGTTCAGGTAGAGTTTGAAAATATTTGTCATTGGATTTTTTTCCTTTTATATTATTGAGCACAATTTGTACAGCTGATGTTTTACTACAGCCGGGCTTTCCACATACGATAATCGGTATATGATTGATGATACAGATCAATACGGTAAATATGTTATTACATAATGCATGATTTTTTGCTGTACCTCGCGGTAAGATCATACGTTTAATAAAATCATTTTCTTCATCTTCTAGTAACTTTTCTATATTGAGATTTTTGAGATGATCAGGTAAGTTAGATTCTAATAGTTCACGATACTGTTGTTTGTCTCGAGACGAATATAAACGAAGATAATAACAGAATAATAAGGCCAATAATGCTGCTCGTACTTCGACTGTCAATGGAGATCGTATTGCTACTCTTCGATGCCGAATGGATTTGTGAAACCAGTTGTACAACTGACGATAGCGAACAACATCACGGAGACTGACACTGGACACATCTTCCATTCGTCGCATGTGGCTCTGTGATTCACATATTAAAGTCACTATCGTGTTATACCAATTTTTGTCTCCCACCAAGCCACCTTCACATCGTCCGATAATTGTTTCAATGTACTTTCGTTCGGCAAGTGGTGTCAGAAAGCCGAAATCCCATATGTGTTCAATCATTGTTTCCGGAATGGGTACGACTGTATATAAAAGTCGATCACCGTTTGTCAGTTGTTGCATTTCATATCGATCAATAGACAGGCCAATTTCATTGCCATCGGCAACAGCATTGCCGTCTCGTTTCATTTTCATACGACTTGGATTACATGCACCTAATAGGACCAGATTGTTCGGCAATGATTTTCCCAGTAGTGTTCGTTCACATGTGATCTCTTTAATTAGACCGATATTTTCTGTTGTATTGAATTCATCAAAAAATATCCATAACCGTTTCGGAGCGATAAATGTAGTGGCTTTTGCAATGAATTGTTCCATTTTATCGATGATTTGCGAACTTGTCAAACCGGCATGAATACGTAAGACTTCCAATTCATCGTCTAGAATCTTTTGGCATAAAAATGTGATTAAAGCCGTTTTTCCACAACCTTGAAATAAAACAAACAGATAAACGTGAAACGCAATTTGTCTCCGAGGTTTAAAACATCTCATAAAATGCTACATTCAAATGTTTTTCGTGTAAGGATAGAGAAGTTATATATAAAAAAAAGTTTTTTGTTTCGTAGCGTTGTAGATCGGGAGCTACCGAATCCCTTCTAAAACGGTGGATTGTTTTCACCATACGTTAACAGTTGTTCATAGCATCTTTGAAAATTATTTTTGAAAAATCCAAATGGCTTATTTGAAGCTCCAAAGGTTTGATAACAAAACTCATCGAACTATTTCGCTTACAAAACGTTTCTAAGGTGCTGTAAAATGTACCAAACCTAAACGAGTTTTGTTCCTGTAGCCTATTTCTAAAACAACAAGCGAAAACATCTTGTTTAATGGTACCTTTTGTTGGAAAACGCCTTCAATAATTCTCAGAGTTACAAGTATTGACAGATTTTCAAAGCTAGGACAATTCATAAGTGAACTCAAGACACTCTTTTCTGACCTGTTTCGCCCATGATTAATATTGGTAGTCCACTTTGTGCTCTCAAATAGATCAATAACATTTTGATGAAGTTATCGGCAGTAATCACATATTCTGTTTCAAGTAGTTGTGCTATCCGTAACTGGAAATTGTTGACATCAGTTGTACTTGAACTTATCGGTCGTAAAAGAGCTTGTTGAGGATGACAGCTCGTACAAACTTCGTTTTTATACGGATATTGTTTAAAACATCTGATACAGATCGATTTGTTAATAAATTTTTTTGAGAGTGATGCCAGTTTCGAAAAGAACTGCGTGTGAGTCACGTTATTATAATCGATAAACACATCGTATCGGATATTTTCATCATTCATCGTTTGCCTCCCAGCTGATCTTTGATATATTTCCAAATACTGTATCAATGCATTTGGAACATCGTTCAATGTTTTATAAACAAAGATCGGGTCATGCGTATCAGTGAATACTAGTGTAAACGGCTGTGTTTCCGACCAGCGGACAATTGTATCTGTCAGCGTTTCATTGGAGTATTGTAACAATGGATTCTGTTGTCGTTTACGAACATTTTCAACAGACATTATAGTAAATTGATTGGCTGATTGTACCAATGCCATCACAATATCCATTCTTAGATTTCGTGTGGGTATTAGATCAACGAGAAAGTAACCACATTTTGAAAATCCATTGAATAACGTATAAAACACGGATATAAATATATGCAACTGTGTCCACGTGAGATAGTTTTTATTTTTATCTTTGAGAAAATAGGTTCTCAACAGTCGTATGCAAGTGTGTTTATCAATCGTATCAACATCCTCTAAATTTATATCTTTATGTTGAATGGTTTTATTTTCAATTGCACTTAAATATTTGGCGACAAACTCTATTTTTGGATTCAAAATTATTTCATTCAAATCGAATTTGACTGTGACCGTATCTGTCAGATATTTAAATAGAATGATTTCATATTGTTCATTTTCATAATAAAATGAATCTAATTCGAAACACAACATAGTTTCATCGGGTATGTGAATATATGTGTCTGAAAAACAATAACTACGAAGAAAACACAATGAAAATAACACTTTGTTCAACAGATTAATATCATTGACCACACCAACATCGAAATGGATGGCGAAAGTTTTCAATACGGGTCCATAATTGAGCAAACGTCTGGCAATCTGATCCAGATTCAAATCTCCAGACAATGGAAATTTCACACAATTCTTTCCCAATTGATGAATAAACTTTTGTATTGTTTCTGTCTTACCTTGTCCAGTTATTTTCGATGAATAAACTTGACAATGTTTCACTTTTCGTCGAATAAGTTCCGTTAATTGGTTTTCATTGATTAGTTCGGTATCGTGTACAAATTTTGCTGTGTCTGTATAAATGAGACCATTTACCAAATGGATACGAATATCGGTTGTGATAAGTGCTAAATGAAATTGTTTAGTATCATCTTCTTCCATTAATTCTTTAATAAGACGACACGCCTGATCTTGAATGTAAAATGATAACAGTTCTGGTTGAACAATTTGATACAGAAAATCGCATGTGGAATACATGCAACGATAGATGAATGATTGAATTTCAATCCAAGTTGTATCGGTCGTACAAAATAATAATTGATTCATTCGCAATGTGTCGATGTTACTACGAGCCAACGATATGATGCCACGATAAAGGCCTTGATTGGATGTTTCAACAATAAGAATCTTTTTGGTCGCTAGAGTAATGCTCGTTTGTTGTTGTTTTGAATCGAATTGTGGATCGGTAATTGTTTTACCCACATTTTCCAAACGTTCTTCAGCATTCAAACTTTTGTTGAGAATCGAAGCCGGATAGTAAAATAAACTAGAAAATAAAAAATGAAGGTTAAACAAAGAAAAATCTCCAAAAAACGAGTACATTTGAAATGTAGAACTCACTTTGGATTTCCAAGATATTTCAGTAGATGATAACCAGGATGTTTTTCGTCCAATGTACGCATCTGTGATAAGTATTCTTCCAGTATCCAGAATTGTATACCGAAAAAATAGGTTAAATTAGGATACACTCTATATATTTCGTTTACTTTTCCTTTCCATTTGCCAAGAATCTCGTAAGTGCTGAACGAAAATTGTTCGAGTTCTGAATAGTTACATTTGACACATTCAAATACTCTATTGCACAATTGTTCAACAGTTGGATAACCCATCATAGCTAATTCATTCAACTGTTTTAAGAGTTCTTCAATAACATTGACAAATTGAACAAAATCATGTAACATTTTTATTTCCAAATCTTTATTCATTTCCGTTGTCGGTTTCATTTGTTGATTATTGGAATATTCGATCAGTCGTGCACGATCACGTAATTCACATATTTCCAGATAATTGAAACTGTTATCATTAGACGACGATGATTTTGCAACAGCATTGATACAAACATCAATATTCTTTTGTGACGTCTTCTCAAATTGAATGGATGATTGTGCAACAATGAGAAAGATTATCCGACGTTTCGACTCTTGTTTGTCTGTCAATTCCAGAAACAATTGTTGAAGACCAGACAGAAGTGAGGTACAGGCTCCAAGTTTCTGTACAATGGTACGGTCAGTGTGGACTAATGGTAAGGCTGTTTGAATGAAATCATCGAATGTGAGAATATTAGATTGTTTCATACGATGAAGAAACGAATGTAACAGTTCAAAATCACCGACATTTTCCGCTGTGATCATTGTGTCATCGTTATCATTAGCACCCTCTCGCAAATTGTTCATATCATTTTCTGTTCGATTCGATAGAAAATTGATCAATTCATTGGCAGTATAATATCGTGCACATAGGTCAAGAAGTAGTTTTGTATGTTGGGAGGAAAATTTATCACAGTAGTCTTGATAGTATTGATAACATAATTCACCAGTAGTTTGTTCAGTCAATGACAAAAGGTTATTGAACACAGTGAGATAATAATCATTTTCTTTATCGGATAGCTGATAGAAAGAGATGATTATTAAACATCCATGACACACTTTATTGTTGTAATCTCGCTCTTTCCAATAGTGTATTATTGGGCTGAATCCCAAAGATGGTATGAGTGTTTTCAGTAGATTTAATTCAGTATCAATTGACGAGCCGATGGTTTCAAATTGTCTAACAATTTGCTCCAAGGTCATGGTTTGCCACTGGAATGAGACCTTTTCAAGTTCATCATGAAATCTTTTAAACAAATTTCTTATCGCAATCATATCGGTGAGACATGTTGATTGATTAATAGAATTTTTACGTTGATATCGGTGCCACGTCGTGGATTTTACATACGGGATAATTTCAATAGCAAATGGTAGTATTTGCAATAAACAATCGGAAATTTTAACTGATCGAATCGGTTCGTCATTGATCTTTTTGGTTACATCATTCAAGGCCAATTTGTATGCATCAATATCACTTGAATTGGAACAGTATTGCTTGAGGCATACATCAATTACATCGATTATTTTTATTTTATCATCCATTTCTTTAACAGTACTTTTAATCAACTGGGTAACGTCAGTTTTGTCCTTCGCATACAAATTAACATCATCCCAAATTTTGGTGAAATTTACTTTTTGATTATCATTATACCGTGACACTCTTTGCAAATCTTCATACTTTAAACCATCCTTTACCCATGTGTTCAGCTGTTCGAGAAGTAGATTGATGATGGTTTGATAAACTGTTGTTCCTTTGAAGCATGGTTCAAATAAAATCGTAGAAACGAACGACTGTCGATCAGCCACGAGTATATCATTTGTTACATAATGTTTATCAAGTGTGATTTTCTTTATGCATAATTCAATGAGCTGTTTCAATATGTCATTAGATTTTATCTTGTAATTTTGTAGAAGTTCATACAATGGATTATCGATACTCATTTGTTTCAGTTTATTAATATTTGGCTCAATAATAGTTTTCATATATATTATCTTGTATTCATTTAGAAAATTATTATTTTTTACATGTTCACATATGATATTCATTGAGCTTACTTCCATTTTTTTCGATTCAAAACAGAGTGTCAGTATTGATTCTACAACATATATCATTCGTTTATCAGAACAAGAAAGTTTATTTAATAATTGATCAATAGATTTTAGAACATTATCGAATGATGATGAATTTTGTTTAATCTGTTGTAGCCATGCATCAAATAAACGTTGAAAGTTTTCAAATTCTTGTGTGGTTTGCGTATAATGTTGATCACATATGAAATTTTCAAACCATTTGATATAAAATTCAATTGTTCTATTACTCTTAGCTGTTGATGTTCTGTTCAAATGTCTGACAAGATATGTAGTTTTATCATCGACTTTTTCTAATATATATGGATTATAATATCGAAATAAATCATTAATTTCATCCGGCTCAAGACTGAACGCTTCAGATGAAATAAGATAATTTTGTATTTGTATTCGTAATTCTTCACTACTTTCAAATACGTAGTGATTGATGCGTGCAATCAACGAATCGTTGATCTGTTCGTATAATGCTTTCAGTATATAAATAATACTCCGACAATTAATTTCAAGCTGACGTTTACTTAATAAATCATTAAATGTCAATGATAATTCCATTCTTAAATTTTCTTCTGTATTTTTATCCTGTTCCTGCGATACGATCGAGGTGACATATGTCATATAATCTTTCAATGTAGCAATCATTGGTAGACATTCAATGGGAACTATTTTGTCTTTTTTCAATGTAAATAATTCCAACCAGTTTTCTCGTTTAATCAACGGTTTATTATTGAATAATTTTTGAATCAATCGCTCTACAATATCATGTTGGCGAATCGGTATTTTACGTAATATTGATATAGTATCAATATCGGCGTCAATATCCTTTGTCAAAATTTCAATAAACAACAAATTAATCAAACCACAATCGATATGATCTCGATATTGTTCAAGTACACTATCCATATGTGTGAGAAATGCACGTAGAACTTTAGTTATTAAACTTTTTGCCTCTTCACAAACCGGTGTAATATTTGATGTATTTATTTCCATTAATCCAAACATACAGATGAGTGCACTGATCGCATTTGGATTACTAGAAATTTCGTCTTGAATTAAACATATATTTTTCAAACATTGCTTAAAAATTTTTGTCATATCATTATAGTCAATATATTCCTTGCTCTGTTGTAGAAATTGTGTGATAAATGAACTGAATGTGTTCAATTTATTCATCACTATTATTAAATATGTGAATCGCCATAACTGATGGAATAATGGAACACTTTCACCCGGACAGGTGGACAGATGGCTCCACCCAGATTTTTCAAAATGTAAGGAAAATATGTAGTAACAATGTTGCCTGGTATCAAGCATGCGCTCTGTTTTGTCTTCAAAATGATATGTTGGTTGATACGATTTCGATTGTGACACACGCATAAAATATTGGCAAAGATATGGGAAACTCGGTGATTTCGAATAGCCCGATTTCAGTTTATAATGATAAAATTTTGAGACAAATGGGTAATCTTTGCTCATATTCAGTGGAATGCTTGCTACTACATCAAACTCGCATTTTACATCATTTGGCAGTAACATCTGAATTTTAAAATCATCGCCCATGCCAGAATCGTAAAGAGCATAAAAATCAGTATCAGTTTCCTGTACTGTCATTTTAAGTTGTACGGGTATAAATGAAGTCGGATAAACTGAAATTGTAAATATAATCTCAGTTTTAGTCTATACACAAATCAATATATGAAAGATGCAGAAATACATACAATGACACCACAAAAAAGGCTTCAATAATTCGGTATTCAGTAATTTTCTCAAAATGAGCAGGAAGAGTGAGAGAAAAGCACTGAGTGTATAAACTATATTACAGAATATATTAATATACAGGTAGATTATGAATTAGCCTAGGCTATCTGAAAATTCAGATGCTTACATAGGTTGATTCAGTTTAGCTTTTGGATTCATTAAATATAGTCTCGATGAGTTTAAAATTGATTGTTGTAAGATGTTTTTCTGAAATACGTACACTAAAGAGGAAAACAGGTCAAGTTATTCACTCAACAAAAACCATTTCAGACGGCTCTTGGTTTTTAGCATGCTACAGACTGGATGCATTTGTAATTGTATATACGCAGTTACAAATCCTATAAATAAAATTATATAAACATTATATAAATAAACTTAGAAACTTAGAAATCGTTTTAGAAACTCTTATCGAATTAAAAAACTTTTCTTTTTCGGCTGAAGATGTCAAATTATCATTACGTTCTCAAGTAATTCTTTTTTAAACTTTCGTGTATGTTAGCTAAATTCCTGCATTTTTTCCAAGGGGGAAAAAGCATACTTCTGTACTTCTGGTACTTCTCCGTACTTCTTGATACTTCTTCGTACTTCTTCGTACTTTTTTGTACTTCTCCGTACTTCTGAAGTACGAAGTACGAAATACGAAATCCCGTATTTCGTACTTCGTACTTCAGAAGTACGGAGAAGTACAAAAAAGTACGAAGAAGTACGAAGAAGTATCAAGAAGTACGGAGAAGTACCAGAAGTACAGAAGTATGCTTTTTCCCCCTTGATTTTTTCACTAAAATTTTGCGAGTTTCCCACTTCCTTCCGGTTTAAATTTAAAAAAAATGGAATCCGTACCCGTAACTGCTCTACCCGCACTCGACAACTTCGTACCCGTACCCAACCTTCGGGTCGGGTTGCACACCTCTATTAGGCACCATGCTCATTAGAAAAGTGGTACTTCAGCATCGATTCATGGGATTTCATTATAATATGAAGTTGGCTTTGACTAATTCGTAATCGACCTGAGTGAGTAAAATCCCACAAATTTACTGCTTTCTTTGTCTTTTCACTGTCGTATTTTCTCGTGTTATTCTCCTGTGTTTATTGTGTTACTAATAGTGTCAGTGTAGACATATAAATAAGAAAGGTATGACTCAGAGTAAAAAGATCTTGATGTGCCATAATCATCGTCATTTTTCTTTTCTGTGCTGCTCTATTTTTCTTCTCGTTCCTTTATGCGGACAATAAACATGAATGTATATGTAATACGCAGTTTTGTCTCTATCAGTAACACAGCATGTTACTGATAGAGACAAACTGCATCTCTGTGTACTGAATGCACACACACAAGAACAAAACGCAATTTTCTCGTTTTATTGTTCTGTGTTTTTTATTGTGTACAATATGCACGACGATTTTATATCATAAATGTTAAAAGCGAATAGTCAAAATAAACTACACACGGAAGAAGAAGACATCATCATAACTTTCTTATTTATATGTCTGCACTGACACTATTAGTAACACAATAAACACGAGAAAATAAACCAGTGGAAAGACAAAGAAAGCAGTAAATTTGTGAGATTTTACCCACTCGGAAAGAAAAAGATAAAGTAGTTGGAAATTTCTTTATTTTTAATTGCGCATTGAATATATCATTCGATATATTATTTTTCGAATCGCCAAAAGCCATATTACTCAGAAATGATTGCTGTTTCATATGAAATAAAAAAGCCAAAATATATTTTTATCCAGAACATCGCTCTATGGCGGGAGGTTGTAATTTATACGCAATGGCTGCTAATTAACTGTAGTAATTACCTCACCCTCGGTAAACATGTCATCAAAATATTTTTTTGTCTACTAGTGTTATAATTACCCAAGTAAACTTCGCGCTAGCTTTCGTTGAGTCTTCCTGTTTAGAAGGAGCTTGACGTGCTGAGAGATAAACGCAACCTACGCAATCACGGTTAACACTCCTGAACAATCCCGACAGAGATGTTCTTAATAGCTAAACTAGCTTAATACTAAGCGTCTTACGTTGACTAAGCTTTTAGGTGCCGAACACGACCGCTTTATTGTTGCTATGGATTAAACTAAGAAAACCCCCATTTCCATGTGTTTTCGAGCCAGGGATTGCTCAAGGAGTATCACACATAGTTGAGATGAATCAGCAAAGCGCAGATACTCTATACACATCTAACTTGGGAAAGATTTTTATTTAGCTGTTCGTAGTCTGTAAAACGAACAAAGATCAATTTCAAGAATTCGATCCAGATCGAAACAGGCCTACTTCCCGTGTAAACCGTGTAGCTTAAAATCGAGAAAGACTAACGATAAGATAACGATTTACTACAATGATTAGAATTTGTTTTTACTTACTGTTTGGTTTTATGGAATGAAGACAAACATCAGCAAAACGTGTCTGTAATACAGGAAAGGAATCAAAGCGTTATTACACCACCACTACCTTCTCAAAGTTAACATAAAGCATGTTTCTTATTTTCTGCACCCATGCGGTTCACTTTCTCTTTTCCTTGATTAAATAGTATATTTTGTTTTATTAAATAGCGTCATTAGTCATACATCCATACAAATGTACGACAATTTGCGGTGTAATAGAAGAAAAGTTTTTTTTGTTAGTCTTACAAAACTTTGAAAATTTTGTGTAGAAATACTCAGAAGAGGCTGTCGAATCGAACCACATAACTTTTTGCGAAAAGAGATCATTTTTTCGTACACTTATTACATGATTATTATGAGTGTATTCGTGTTCTATACTTTTGCCTTCCCTAGCTTTCCGCTGATTTTTCAAGGCGGTTATTCCGTGTAAAACCGGATCTCTAAAGAGATAAAAATCGAACTTGACCATTTTCAGTTATTTGTGAGCTGATCACGAGGTTCGGGATACATTTCTGATAAAGCCAAGTTAATGCAAAGATTTCCCGATTTTCTGGCTGAAAAGGACTGTTTGCTACTAGAGATGGGCATCGGGACCAAAAAAAGTTTTCTGGTCCCGGTAAAAGATTTGATTGCCGTTCCATCACCTTCACGGTTAAAATATCATTTGGCCGTGCATTTTGTAGAGAAATGTTTCCTCTTTCAGATTATATATTCTAAAATAT